TTGTGCTCAGCACACTGGCAACTTAGGAGTTCACCCACAAGGGAGAAGGGCGCTCCCGTCTAAACATGAAATCAACCCCCACATATACTGTGATCCAAGGCAGGCTACGAGCCACGATACTCGTTTAGCATTCCAAGTGCGACGCATTTACTCTCTGATAAATAATTTACCCAAAATATATAGGTATGTGTATATATACTTGCATATAGTTGTGCTATTCCATTTTGGGTTTGTTTTATGATGCAAATTAAACAAACTGGCAAGTGTGCAAAATTGAAATTTGCTCTAAGTTTTTTGCATACAATTTTTGGGGTCTGAGGTTGAAAAGAAAAAAGTTTGTTTCGGAGGGTTGTTTTGTTCCGTTTCTTTTTTTCTGCCTCTTTTTTACACAAACATTTACACAAGACGCTTGTACAAGTGTTGTTTGCTCAGAGAAATGAAAAACAATTTGTATTTATTTACAATTTACACAAAAATAAAACAATAAGTGTGCAATTGGCTGTGCCATAATAAAATTGTCTATTTGAACATTTTTGTTCTCTGTTTGTGTCTTTCGCTCAACCGAACCGCAAATACATACACATTTGCTTGTGAAATCGCCACGTGGCGCTTCAAAATGAGCAAATTAGTCGTTGTAAAGCCGCGTTGAGTGTAAGTACGGTAATTTCAAAAGATTAGTTAATGTTGACCAATGAAGACAATACTGTACACAAGCGCTTCCACTGTGGACAACATTCAATATTATGTTCCTATTCTTTTCGTATATAAAGGTAGATGAGATACGATATACCCTATTAAATTGAAGTAAGAAGAGTGATTAAATCTAAAATGGGCAACTCGCTGTTACCCTAGCCAAACGCAATTATTTGTTATACAAGCCCTATCTATCTATCGGCTGCAGCCCACTTAGCATACACGTGTAAAATAAAACTCACTCGCGCTCTGATTTGCACATTATACTTTCACATACACCAACTAAGAGCCCTTTCCAAAAAAGGGAAATAAAACACAACTGTAATTAATACGAAACATATCCTCTCATTACCAGGAGACTTTATCAAAAGCAAGAGGAGCAACAGTAAGCGTAGACTGCGACTGCTGACTCCTAATAGAAGCTCTTTTCCCAACCCCTCAAGATAAGCGAGCCACAGCCATCAGTTTTCATAAAGCAGGAAGTTACTAACGTAGCCGAATGCTGCGCATAATGAGGAGGAGCTGCCAACTTGATTTATTACTCAAATAAATACAAGTTTATCAGTTAGCAACCGATGCATACATGATTATACAACTAATTAGGACAGCACATAATTAAAGCATAAGCCTCAAACCTCTGCAGTTATGGACAAAGTTGTCGAATTGGTCGAATTATCAGGTCAACAATAGACGTCTTTAATTAGTGGCAGCAGCTAACAGTAGCTAAAGGTAGGCGTTGCCTCTGAAAACTCCCCAAAGTAGCTTAAAAACACCTGGAAATTGATTCAATTAATCTGTTGTTATTCAGAGCAAAATCCAGTAGAAAGTGTAGGTGCCAAAAAAGAGAAATGGTCTAGGCCAATTAAGGCCTGGAGACGAGCTCTGTCTTAATTCCATAGTCAATTGTGATCTATACGCGAAAAGCATCAATGTAAGGGATGAAGCAGATGCCATGTCCACGCACAACTCCAAGTCTCCGCATATCTAGACATACATTTTAGCATCTTATACGCTCGGCTCTGTTCACTATAAAAGACATGCCCTATTCGCACAAACAAACACACGCACACCACACATCCATACTAGCTTACTCAAATGGTACATGTGTGAGTGCGCACATTTGATGATTAATTGCAGTCAAGATGATAAATTATTGGGGGTAATAGGAGTAGCAGCGACAAGCGCCACTCAAAGTAGTACAGGGAAGCCGACTCAGATATCTTGTTTGATTCCGAAAACTTGTAGCAGTAGCGGCAGCTTGAGAGTTGGGTCTCAAAGAAGGCTCGCATGCTCAGTTTAGCTGCCTGGCGAGTATTTAAGGCACACAGTCGCTAGGTCCTCACGTTTTGGGCCACGCTGGGAATATTTTTAGCAATTGCACGTACTTGTGATTGCTTTTTCTTCGTTGTTGCTGATTTCTGCTAGCTCTGATATTTTTCAAACAGTAATTTGCTTGGCATTTGTAGAGAAGCCAAGGACCGCTCGACAGTCAAAAGGAATTCGTTGGTGACGTGTTACGCAATGATGTTGGTTTCGTAGTTGTGCCTTTGGCTTATTATCTTTACTCCACGTTTATGTGTGTGCCACAGAATATGTAAGCGGCTGTCTTCATGAATTTCCCAGTTTCAATGTCTAGAATTTTACTTTCCCTTTCGAATTTGGCTTACTTTTTATACCCATCACATGAAAAATAGGAAATCAGGGTATAATGGTTTTGTACAAATGTAAGTAACAGGCGGAAGGGGGCGTGGCAGACCCCATAAAGTATATATATTCTGGATCAGGACGACGAGCCGAGTCGATTGAGCACTGTCCGTTTGTCTGTGCGTCCCTCAATTTTATTTCAAATAATCGATTACTATTCCCGTTTCATTGTTATCGATTGAAAACATTATCGAAATACAGTTATAAAATTATACCTCGTTCGGGTTAAGAGCTAGAGTCTCCAACTTTTGTATTTAGTTCTATGTGTATTTTCTACAATTTTGATTTTTGTTATATTTCGGATACCGTCTCCAAATGTCCCCAAATTCTAAATATTATGTTCAAGTTCATCCTTTTTCATTCGTTGCTCGTTGTCGACACGTTCTGGGTTCAATGCAAGGCAGCGAAGGGATGTTTTTTGTTTTAAATTATGAAAAGGGCGGTGTTGAATGCGTATTGTGTGTAAAGTGGGTTGGGTATACCTACGCTCAGCAGCACAGTCAGACTGATTTCGGCACTTGTCTGAGCCAAAGTAGGAAACACCACAATACAGAATGGAATTATATATACATTCATAATTGGCTCAGAGAACATTACTCTTAAGGTGAGCATGCAAATAGTGCATGCTAACAAGTTCTTAGAAAAAGTTTAAAAGTTTTATTATCCTTTAAAAATGTATGAATACAACTAATTATTTATGTATACGACGATGTTTTTCTAAGATATGTATGTGAACAAAGCACAATTTTACTGTAACACAAATAAATACAGATGTTTTCTTGCACAGAGATAAAGACACAAATGTAGCTTGTTTATCTTTGCCACTGTAGAAACAACTGCCAGCTGTCTGAAATTCCAGACAAGTACCCGCGACAAATGACGCGGCATAGGCGTAAGAAGGGAAAGTGAAAGAGCAATTTGAATAGAATATAGGCACGGCCCACAGCTAACGGATGTAGCCGGAATTCGAACGGGAAATAAACAAAACATCCGTCGCATAAAGTATATTAATTACAATGTGATTCCTCATTCAGCAATTTTCTCAAATGATTTTCACTTCAATACGAGCCACTTACCTGACGTGTATCAAATTATCCTTGATTAAAAGTTCCTAGCACCAGCACAGGCTACAAAGCATATTTACTTGGTACTTGAATTTTCAGACCGGTGTATACTATTTGTATATACGTATTTCAACTTAGGCTGAAAGCGAACAATTTTGCCAATTTTCGGAAAAATTCCGAAACACACATTTTTCTACGCATGGAATTGTTTAAAAATAGTCAAGATTTCAATGGGGTATATGTGAATAATTCAAACAAATAAATACCACAACAATTAAATAGAATGTTTGAACAATGTGGCGAATGTTCTACATACATACATACATACATACGTACATATATATTGAATATACAAAATTGAAAAGGGCGACCAAAGTTAGATATGCAAGATATATATTCCAGAGAGTGGACCGATAGAGAGCATTAACAGTAGCTTCCTTATCTTTTTGCATGCCTGCGCTTGACATGGGCTACACATAGTCGAGCAATCGCTTATGCGTCACATGACGATAAGGCGGCAGGCAGTCGACTCAACATTTTAGTTAATAAATGCAAACAAAAAAAAATACTTAAGTAAACTGCTAAATCAGCTGGTATTTTTGATAAGTCAACGTTGATTGGGTTTTATCACAGAAGCGCACCAAATAAAAGAGAGGAATTTAATTCGCATTTATATACAAATATATACATGTATGTATATATACATATATACATATATACATGTGTATTTTTATTTTCATATCATTTAATATTTGTCAAATGCTTTTTGCAAAATACTTATATACATAAGTATAATACACATAAATACATATGCATAAATTCAAATACATATATATATATATATATATATATATATATATATATATATATATTTATTTATTTATTCAGATGATAACCAACAGCGACGACGACTGTTTATGACCGCATCTATTTTTTAGTTTTTTTTTTGCATTTTATAGAAATATATTTATAAAGAAAATACATTCTTATTATTAAAATTGTTTATACGTGCGAATGTATTTATTTTTTTATGCATTCGCGCAGCTTTTGCGATTGCCTAGAAGCTTTTCTTTATTTTGAATTGAAATGGAATATATTGCAAAAAAAAATTAATTCAAGGATTTTTAGAATTTATATCTGCGATTTTCTCTGTTTAGTTCTTAGCTTTTAATGAGTGCAACATATTATTGTTTAATATTCTTAAAGAAGTCAAACCCAGTGTTCAATGCATAATAAATCCCCACCAGACCCAAAGATAAAAATAATATAAGGGATATATATATAATTATAATAGCCACATGTTGCTTTGACGTCAATTATAGCTATAAACAGAAAACACTCACCAATTTGTTCAATATATTTAATACACAATCTATAGAGAAAATGCAGCACTCGACGTGATAAACTACTATAATTGGCAGACATACTTATGAATTAGGATTGGATGAGCTATGCCTATTTTTTGCTGTCACGCGATCGTGTTACTTAACTGATATCCGCAATTATATTATAGTTGTCGGTTTCCCAATGCCCACTCACCTGTTGCCATTGATCCTCGATCGACGGCTGCGATGAAAAATAGCCCGTTGTGCATATGCGCTCCAGTTCGTTGAATATATTTCCGCTCGGTAGTATATCCATCTCGAGATCGTCGTCCTCAGTGCAGTGAAACTCTGAAGACTCCGTGATGAAGCCGTCCTGCTGTTTCGTTCAGGGTAAAAAACTAGCTTTGCTGTCGTAGATTACAAGCAACGTCAAGTTGTTATTGAATTTTTTGATTCACACTCAACGCTCAACATATAGGTTTTGATGATTTTGATTTAAATATTTTTGAAATGATTTGATTAGAGGTATTGCTGAATGCCAATCGGCTTGGGGTTTCCTTGAGTTACACTATACAGCATCATAGCATAGACACACAGATACAATATTTAGATAATTATACAGCTAAAAAACACTTTTTTATTTATTTTAGCTTTATGTATTTGATTTTCGATATATTTTTAGCACATTTAGACACTTCAAATTTTAATTGATTTTTTTTAGAGCAAACTTATTTAAATTTGTTTGTGCTCTTTATATAATATATTTTAAAATTGGACGCACTTTTTTATTAAGGGTGTTCCACTGCAGTTGCTTAGAGCTGGAATATAAAAGTTTAAAGATATTTATTAATATATTAAAAAGAATTGTATCAACAATATACTAATAATAAAAATAATCTAGTTTGCACATAGAATAATGTAATATTTGTCCACTTCACGCTTAAATCAGATTATGACTCAGATCTTAAGTGTAGTCTACGATGAGGTAACTAAAGTATATTCTAGAAGCATTCAAATGAATTTTCTCTGATCGTGCATTTTGGTACTAACAATACTCAACAGTTTTCACTATCATACCAAAATGTTAGGTCAGTAACCCCAAAAATACACTCAACTGGATGGACAACAGTGGGAAGTGGCCTGAAGCCCTGATAGGTATCTCTGTATTACCATAGATTGAGTCGAGTCGAGTCGAGTCGACTCCAGTCGTGTCGGTTTTGGTTTTGGTTTCGAGCTCGGGATCGAGTTGGAGTTCGAGCTCGGCCGCTCGATATGTTGTATTTGTCTTTAATTTCTAAGCGCTTTGTTCGCCCTCCCCTGTGATGCAACAAAATACGGCTGCACTCGGGGCTCGTTTCGCTGTCGTTTTTTACTACCTGTTTGTGTTGGCTCTTTTATAACGTATTTTTCTGTTTTTCTCTCGTGTTAAATGAAAAAGAACCAACCCGCTTTTGAAGCAACCGTGCAGCAACCGTGCGGTTTAAGTTCAATTTAGTACAGTTTGGTGTTTTTCATTTTGTGTCTGCTTTTGTTTTGTTTTGAGCTGCAGCACATGGCACACAAACGCCGAATCGGTCTGGGCCCGGTCTTTGGTTTTTGGGCTCGAAACTTCAGAGCTGAGAAACTGTCAGGCCTGAATAGTTTTACCTCATTGTCTCTTTTATTTCTTGTAAAATAAGTTTAGTATTAACACAAATATCAAAATTTCCGTAATATTAAAATGTTTAGACTTTAAAATAAAATGAAAATTAAATTAAATTTAAAATGAAATTTAAAATAAAATACGTTTAGTATTAACAAAAATATCAAAATTTCTTTAATATTAAAATAAAATAAAATAAAATGTAAAAGAACTAGAATGAAAAAAGACTCCAACAGACACAATTACTCGAACTTAAACAAATTAAATGTTAACGAACTTTTATATTATTAAAGGCTACCCACGCATTAGGACCAAAGTTTCGCCCACATGCCCAAAACTTGTACGCAGACGTTCCTAAACCGATTTTCAGCAGACATATGCACACAGCCTACATTTGCTCTACTCGAATACTCTTCAATCAGCAACTTAACTCGAAAAAAAACAGTCAGCGAGTCGGAGGCGGGGTCACGCTCACGTCCGCTTGCAGCCTACGTGCGTTTTAGTTTGTTGGTCTTGTTGCTGCTGATGCAGCTTCGGCTACTTTGCGTGAGCATCTAGCTATTTTCTGGCCATCATCATACCCTTTGCAATAAAAAGAGTAAACTATATAATATAAAATTTATATAATTATACAATTGTGTATGATGTGGGGTCTCGCAGTGGCACACGCAACTTTAAAGGCAAACCGGAGACCAGTCGAGAGGCCTGTGCGGCAACAACAACAGCAGCAGCATCAATCGAAGCTGCAGCAACAACAAATATCATCAACAGGCTGCGGCCACATTCTTCTGTCCCCAATGTTCACAGTCTTTTGGTTGTCGTTGTAACAGCAACAAAACCATCAGAGACAACACGTGAAATTCATTCCCTGAACTTGATTTGTATAGTATGCCACTTCTATTCCCACTTGCTCTTGGATTTTCCCCTCTTGATTCACTATGAATTTCATTTCATTTCGTTTCTTTTTGTTGCTGCTCTTCTCTCCCCTACGTAACTCTTTCATATTGTGTTGCCCCGCTGCGTAATATTTCCTGCTCAGCACATTTGTACCCTGCGGCAGCTACCCCTCCCCCCCTCGCAACATACATATCAACACTTTGTTCATTTCACACGTGAATTGCTTTAAAATAAAAACGGATGGAATGAAATTTTCATTGCTGCCTATTTTTTCAGACCAGATCTTTTGCTTGTTGCTGACTGCCTGCTTGTTTGTTTGTATTTCATTATGAGTGGAATTTTTCCATAGATAAACCATCCAATCAATAAGTATAACCATCGCAATCCTTATTATTAGAAACTCAATTTGTGCTGATATTGCTCTAGGCTCTAAGCAAATCGAAAATCAAAACTACATGTTCTTGATTCTTGATGACTTTTAACTGCAGCACTATCCAAATCCAATCAGTTAGATTTGTTAATCACGGGAAACCAACCTGTATTTAAAACTTTACAACATAATATTCATTGTATGGAAATACCTTGAAATCTCGAAAGTCATTCAGAACTATGTTCTGTCTGTAACATGAGGCACACAACGCAACACAACCACTGTACATGATACACATACACATCATGTGTATGTATTTCTGTTGTGTATCTTATCTTCGTGTCATTTATTTTTAGTTGGCAAATTGTGTGTGTTTATAAACAAAAGGTTATTTATGTGCTCAATTTTTATTTTTGTTTCAGTCAAATAAATATTAATAAAGACCACGCGTTAATTTGGGCGCAACTTGCCGGAGCCTCCGCCGAGTCATTAATTTTTGGATCGAACTCACGAGAGTCCCTCGTCGAAAGACATGTGGTGTCTGCATTAATCGGGATTGCGACAAGCAAGAGTTCAGTTATTTTGATTGCTCTGGCTGCTGCTGCTGCTGGTGCTCTGCTCATTGAACATAGTTTTCACAGCCGCCATCATCCGAAACTGAATATGGACTACTCTTCACACGACTACCAACTACAGGCAAGTGCACATTATACTGGAGGAGGTGCAATATTGGTTCCAGTACACCGTATTCGTATCAGTGTATACACATACTTGTACTACCAGGAACTTGTGATTTTATTTGTTATTTACTTTTGATTGAATGTAAAAAGAAACCGCCTGCAAGTTGAGCCACAGCACAAGCAAGTTCGATTTAATCATAAAACAAATGTGGCACTTGTTTTGCAAGATATACCACATAAACACTTTATATACAGAGGTACATAGGAATATTATAATACATACACACATGTTTATATATATAGTTATTTTACTGCGCTTCAGCAATCGCACAAATATTGAAAAAAAAAATTGTGGAGGCATGAATCAACCGCACTTTATATTGGTTGCCTTTGGTACGTGATTTAATATTAGAGAACACTGAGTAGTTCATGCAAATAGCAAAGTTTTTTTCTTGAAATAACAAAATAACAAGAAGAAGAAGAAGAGCTCGAGAAGTTAGTTATGGTTGTTTGGCAAATGATTAAGCGCCTGGGATGTGGGGCTTTTAATATTTTTAGCGTGAGTCTCGCGGTCTCAGCGCTGAGTCATAGCGCGATGTGGTGGGCTGGTGCAACTCTACTACCGGAACGGGAGGCAAGATTCACTAATGCATGCTCAGCTCTTTAGCCAGTAGACGAGCTTCAAATTTGTACTCTTTCCCTGAGATTTAGATTTACGTACCTCTTGATGATGTTGTTGTTGATGCTTTAGTTGTTGTTGCTGCTGCTGCTGCTGTTGTTGTTGTTCACGTTGCTGTTGCAGCACTTGTTACTTTGACGCACTTTTGCACAAAACTTGTTTGCACACGAACACACTGCGGCACACTCACACATCAATAAGACAAAGACTTAACACATTGGATGTCGAACGCCGAATGCCGAATGCCGACAAACAACAACAAACTAAGCGGAGTGGAGCGGAGCGGATCGTTGCCACTGCAGACTTAAAGCGAGCAAATGGCGATAAGAATTTAGCATGCCTAAATTTTGCAATAATTATTTATCCAATTGGTCGTCAAATTTTTTGTTATTTGTACAATTTTCTATTTACACTGCAAACGTTTTCACCTTCTGTTTGCCTTTTACAGGTGTTGCTCGTCTACTTGTGGTAGCTGCACATATCACTGTGTGTATTCATAGCTGTTTAAATTGCCGCTGTTATTGTCTGCTTTATCAGAGCAAGTTGTCGTCCACTCATTGCTCATCAAAACTTTGTTTACACCACGCACACATACAACCTCTAGGGGGCAACAAATTTCGTATCGTCATGGGATAGAACAAACAGTGGCAAGTGACCGATCGGCTAGTTACAGCTTGCAACTGCACAAGTGCATTTCAATTTGTGTGATTTAGTTGCTGGATAAAGAAAAGACGCCGCTGCTAATACTGCGGCTGCGTTTGCGGCTGCGGCTGCGACTGCGACTGCGACTGCGGCTGCTGCTGTTTGTGATAACTGCGCTTGCGACTCCGACGCACGCTGAACCGTTAACGTAACCGGTAAAAACAAGACTGTTGCTGATGTTACTCTCAGAGAGGCACAAGTGCAAGTTAAGCGACGTTTAACATTCGCCTGTTAAGAGCAGAGAGTCCAACTGTTAGTTAACATTGCCCATGTTGCTCTCAGAGAGCACCAAATGTGCTCTTCGTCTTTTTAATGCGGCGAACAGACTCACCACAGCAGCGGCGAATTCAATGTCGCTTCTCGCAACGCAAGCGTCCAAAAAAAAACTAAAAGTGTAAAATAGCGAAGTGGTGAAAATGATAACATTTGGTTCAACTTAAGTTGTGGCTGGCACAAAGAAATTCTGTATTTATACAAAGTGCACGTAAACGATAAAAGTATTTTAAAAGTAAGCACAATAATAAAATATTGAAAATAAATCCTAATAATAGCAATAGACTATGTACATAAATTCAGCCAATGATAAATATACCTGCCACTTATACCACGATTGTAGTACCTAATCGCATGCCAACCGCCTGAAAAATT